CCACACTGAACGTGGTGAAGACAAACACAGTCCACATTGAACGTGGTGAAGACAGACACAGTCCACATTGAACGTGGTGAAGACAGACAGTCCACACTGAACGTGGTGAAGACAAACACAGTCCACATTGAACGTGGTGAAGACAGACACAATCCACATTGGACGGGGTGAAGACAAAGCCGGCAACAAGACAAGGTCCACTGAGCCCAACCTCTGACATAAGCTCTTCTTCATCGAGGGTATTTTCTGATTAGGAAAATGTCCTGTAAATTGTGTTATATCACAACATTGTGCTCGTGACCATCTGGATGACCCTTGATTGGCTTGGTCGTCTTGGATCGACATGAACTGACCGACAACTGACTTACAGAAGGATGCCCTTGGGAGGAGCTCTGTCACGATAAACATCTCAATGATCAGTCAGTTTGAATCAAACACAGGTACTTCATGGGATTATCCGAAGCATAAATATAAACAAAGCATTGTACACAACTAAAACATGCGCCACAACATGGTGGTAACGCATGAATGATTCCATGAGTCTCAGATGTTCAGAACTTTGGACAAGCCAAGCGTCTAAGATTATTGCACTTATATAGCGATGTGCATGCACGTGTGTGTGTGGCTGCTTGTACTAGTCCGGACTGATGCCGATTTATAGTGCTAGCTCACTGAGATGCCATGCCGCAGTTTAACACGAATACCCCACTCAGACACAGTATACTGACTCCGAGCCGACCAGTCCTTGTTTTAGCCCCTTAATGCCGAGCGCCAGACAGGGTAACAACAAGTACCATATTTTAACGTCTTTTGGTATTCCGCGGCCGGGGATCGAACCCCGAACCTTCCGCTCTCCGGGCGGACGCTGACAAGCCAGTTAGACTGGCTCTTATAATAATAACTATAACAGCACTACTACTGCTCCTGCTACTACCACTGCAACTACCACTACAACAAGTACACCATCTATCACTACTAGTACTACTACTACTACTTCTTCCACAACTTCCACAAACACAACCAGTGCTACTACAACAACGACTACTACAACGACTATGTCTACTACCAATTCGACTACTTCTACCACTACTACTACTACTACTACTACTGCTACTACTACTTCTACTACTACTACTTATTATCACTACTACTACTACTACTTCTACTACTACTACTACTACTACTACTACTACCAACATAGCTACTACATAGCTAATACGACCACAACTACCGTCGCAGCTACCACTATTACCACTACTACTACCAACACCAACAACACCAACACCAACACTACTACTGCTACTACTACTATAACTACTACTACCGTGACAGCGACTACTATTACCACCACCACTACCATATCACTAGAAACCATTAATACCCCGGTCAATGTCCTCTCGGTATTCATTCTCAGCACACTGGGGAGTATGGGACTCGCGTTGGACGGTTAACAGACACATTGCCATCTCATACTACCGGGTACCCATTTACTGCTGCATATGTTGCCTCTATGGGGAATGATACCCGGGAACCGAACGAACCCTTTAATAACTTAACTCAGCACCAACCTTTATGTTCAGACTGAGATTATAGTGGCGACAAACATCACGTAATTGCTACAAATAGCTCTCCTTATCACAGTGACATTTTAAAGTGGGCTGTCACAGATGATTAATTGTCAAGTTGGTGTATTCACAGCGACTGTAGTTTACGATGTACGTCACGATGGTATATTCACAGCGACTGAAGTTGACGATGTACGTCATGATGGTGTATTCACAGCATCTGTAAGTTGACGATGTACGTCATGATGGTGTATTCACAGCGACTTTAGTTGACGATGTACGTCATGATGGTGTATTCACAGCATCTGTAAGTTGACGATGTACGTCATGATGGTGTATTCACAGCATCTGTAAGTTGACGATGTACGTCATGATGGTGTATTCACAGCGACTTTAGTCGACGATGTACGTCACGATGGTGTATTCACAGCATCTGTAAGTTGACGATGTACGTCATGATGGTGTATTCACAGCGACTTTAGTTGACGATGTACGTCACGATGGTGTATTGACATCGACTGTAGTTGACGATGTACGCCATGATGGTGTATTCACAGCGACTTTAGTTGACGATGTACGTCACGATGGTGTATTCACAGCGTCTATAGTTGACGATGTACGTCACGATGGTGTATTCACAACATCTGTAGTTGACGATGTACGTCACGATGGTGTATTCACAGAGATCGCTCTCGTTGGGACTCCATGTTGGCATTAGTTCCCAGGAACCTACGCTTGTCGTACGAGGAAACGTTATGGATCCAGATATCAGCCTCGGTGACATGTTTCATTCCGTGTCATCGTACTCTGATGGCGTGGATCGTTGCTCTTTATATCAATCACTGGATTATCTGGTACAGACACGAATATCTACAGACCGCTAACACATAGCTGGAATATCGCTGATTACGACGTCAAGCAACAACAAAATAAACAAACAAACACCGAGATGTATTACCGACAGACAACGTATACAGGAGACAGCTAACAAGGTTGAACAAACAATTTGGTATATTTTGCGATACAGAACACTTTGATATATCAGTCATTTGACAAAAATGAGGAATTGAAGTGATCAAAGTCATGGACTCATGAGGCCCTGGCATTTCAACAACAAACATAGCTCCTAGGAGTGAGTGTGTGAGTGAGTGTGGTTTGACGCCGCTTTTAGCAATATTCCAGCAATATCACGGCGGGGGACACCAGAAATGGGCTTCACACATTGTACCCATGTCGGGAATCGAACCCGGGTCTTCGGCGTGACGAGCGAACGCTTTAACCACTAGGCTATCCGACCGTCCCTAGCTTCTAGGAAAGGGAATGACTTCGTTTGAATCTGTGTGTTTACCGGGAAAGTTGTATTGAGGCCACAAGCGGTCCCGGTAATCAGACAGTAAGAAATAACAACAGGACAGTCACACTCCTTACTTTGAAACGAAATAAATCTAGCACGCATATTTCCTAAGCGCAAATAGTGACATCTTGGAATGCTGAATAACGGTACATATAAACTACCACAGTTGTGACTGACGACAGGCAAACCTGTTGATAGACCTTAGAAACAAATCTCACATGAATTGTGATAGACGTTGATTGTTGGTTGTCAATAGAGGCTTACTGCCAATCAAGGAAGATCACGTCCATTACCCAATGTAAACACGCACTGGATGTCAATGTGACGACAAACATCCCGTCTCATTGTTATTGTGCAACTGCGCAGCGACCAGTCACCTGTTAGTTACCAAAATATGTATGAGAATTACAAGCAGGTACGACACAGATAGCAAGAGGTTACTTATCACGGGGACTTAAGATGCGTGGAGAATTCCTAACCAGGGTGTGGAGGCCACACTGATATCGCTCTCACTGGTTCGGCACATGCGCAGTTTGGCCTCACCTGAAGACATAATAGCCAGTCATATTCAGGAAGAGGTTGCTCTGTTAAACTGTGTTTTGTATAACGTGACAGCATGATGTCGGCATTCACGCCCAAAGTTGCATAAAGATGCGATCTCGTTATCAACGTTCCATGTCATTTTGATGTTGAAGGTGATGTATTAAGGAAATAAAGGCTGACAATTACATATTTCATGTCTCCTGCTTTTTGTGATCAGGTTTCAAAGGGGCGAGTTGTCAAGTAATTAAGCGCGCCATAGTCGCTGTGCAGAGGTGCGTACTCTTGAGTCTGCCATGATCCGTTGATCGTGGGTTCGAATTCAAGACCAAGAATTAGACCGGATAATGATTCGTGGTTTGTCAGCACCATACCCGTACTTGTGGATTTAACTTAAACCGCGCACTACCAGTATGGTCCTCATACACCAGAAACAAATCAGTTATCATCAGAGAATTTGGAATTTACGATTACTGGATCATGACTCGTCTAAGGGGCGTAACTCTGCACAGCGAATTGTGGCGCATCGGTCGACAGGGCCATCAGTGAGCGAGTGGGTGAATACGGTTTTACGTCGCTTTTAGCAATATTCCAGCAATATCACCGCAGGGGACACCAGAAATGGGCTTCACACAGTGCGCCCATATCGGGAATCGAACCAAGGCCTTCGGCGTGACGAGCAAACGCTTCAACCACTTGACTACCCGACCACCCCAGGGCCACCAGTGCCTGGATCTTCTTTAGATGTTCGTTGCCAGGCTCACATTTACCATCAGAGAGATAACCTATCGACAACATTGTCAGAACGTTGTCTGTTATCAGTAAATTATATACATGTCAAAGTAGAACGCCCATTGCAGATAGTTGATTAGGATTCGTTTCAAAAAATATAATTTAGAACTCAATTAATCAGTTTCGCGAGACGTCTAGGACAGAGTGATATGTTATTGCCTTGGCTTAAAAACCTTCACTGGATGTAATGTATTATAACTGTGACAGAGAATGACGTCAGCTACACACTGGTAACATATGTTTGTCGTGTATACAATGTTATCATTTGGAGTATTGAAATATCAACCAGATAACACAACAACCTCTTATTGCGATTTTTATAGATAAACAAACGTGCTTATTTCGTGATATATTAATCATCAAACAACGTCAGCGATGTAAAAATATCCGTGAACGCAGTATAATTTCCAGGATATCAGTAACCCCAAATCGTGACATCACAAACAGGACCGCACCTTCTCACACTGGTACGTAAATGACTTCGTGTACAAAAGTTCAACTACAACAACAGTGATATAAGTGTCCCTTTCTCCTCAAGAAACTCCCCGTATGTCTGAAGTCAATCACATTCAGCCTAATCACTCGAGCGTTTCTGCCACAACAAGAGGTCCCCACGATGAGCTCATTCAGGGAAAAAGAATACGCAGCACGTCACGTGACTAGTTGAGTAACTGACCAGTCAAACTACCCGTTACGCAGCGTCTATCCCGAGCTATTTATAGCCAGTATAAATACCCAATCAAAACTTGGGTAAAACTTTTAGACATCCGACCAACTCAGCTCAGTCTGGTTGTAGAGCTCTGCGAGCACAGGACCACCTACCCGTATAAGCTTCTCACGATTTGTACACGTTTTCGAACCGGTTTCTGCAACACGTGTTAACAGGACATACGGAATATACGTGCCGGCACTGATTAGTTTTCTGTAGTATAACCAGTTTTGGAATAATACAGAAAACAATAATCTATTTTCGTTATATTTAAACTTAAAAATCGAAGACTGAAACTCCATTGCCTGGTATCCTTGTGATCAGAGGACGGTGTCGCTCGGCGAGGAAGCCGACAAAAGTAAAGAGCCGACCATCACAAGTCAACATCTGACAGCAGTGACAGTGACGTACACGTCAACGTAGAAACAAATATGAGTGCTTGGAGATCCCGCTTCCACGATAAGGTAAGAGTCAGTCTGCTCCCCCTAAGCTAGCCATGTGGACCTACTACTACCGCAGAGACCGGACACCCCCGGGGGTGATGCCCATAGCTTATGTTCATGAAGCACCAGTAAGTACCAGAGATGTTCGCATGAACTGACAAAGATCACCGTTATGTTGAATTAACAAGACAACCATTCTACCAATGTCGTTATGACAGTAATGTTCCGTTAAATTACACATGTTGTCCAGCTGTTATCCTTACTTTTCTCTCTCTTTTCATAATTTATAATATGCATGGAACTATTTTGTTTCTCGGTGAATATTTGCGTATCGGATTTCATCGTTACATGTGATAACATCGTATATTTATTTTACAAAGTTGATACCATGCCAGGTATATATAATACTATATTGACACCGAATACGTATATCTTGCACTTTTACAAATAGTCATATACTTAATATTTGAATGTCAGCCGCCTGTGTTTTTAATTTGATATGCGATGTTAAACGTTCGTATGTCGTATATTTTGTACATTTGTGATGTCTTGTCACTTTTCTATATAGTTTCATATGTTATAGAATATTTAATTCATTTATTCGCGGACGCTCTTCTAACAAGTAGAAACCATGTGCATCTAAGCTTGGACATAGTGTCTCTCATTCATCACCAAATGCTCGCTAAATCCACAGTTACCGGTGTTCTGAATGAGGTGCCTTGTGTCGGTCAATGTAAAACATCAGCCCTCCAGGCGTGGTCCCCAGTATATTCCCTCAACACCACAGCCTCCCTCCAGGCAACAACACAATGCTGAACCTGTTCCGTCTTGAATGTATTATGTCATAATCCTTAAACTCTGTACTTTAAGACCTGATTTCGTGGCGGACTTATTCTGTAAACACACAATGAGGTTTAATTTGATATTGAAACACGGAGTCTCGTCGACTTAACGATAAGACGCTGGGAATAAAGTAACGGCTTGAATTTATTATGCTACAATATCCCTGAAACCCCATGAACATGTCTGTTGTCCTTCATCAAATATTGGAAGGTCTTAGTGAGAGTGGTAATAATGGCACCTGGACAGCTACAGTATATTAATCTGAAGGCCTGTTCATACAGGCGACACTTTAAAGTCATGATATCTTATACATGGTCGATTCTCGTAACGTGAACCCTTATTTATGATGTGTGTGAGGCGTGTGATGTTGATGGTGTATTTGGTTGAAAGCCTGAATGCTAAAAGCCTCGTAAAATATGGAAAGGTCCATAGTTTCTGAAACATAGTACTATATTTTTTTAAACCGTCTCTTTAAGCAAGCCGGTGAATAAATCTTTCCTGGTCGAGGCGCATTTAAACAGTTAGAAATTGGAAAAGACGCTATACAAATTCTCTTAATCATTTTTTTAGTTTATAGATATTTTGGGGTTAACTTATGAATAGACGCAGTATAAACCCACAGCACGGCCATGAAGTGGAGACGACGATACTGCATGACAACATGACTCTGTATTCAATAATCAAACACAGATATTGAGTTTGGTTCATGTCATTTATTGACATACATTCAGAGATCAATCTCGTGTATTCTAGCTGATGCAGACGGGTCTATATTAGCTTTACCGGAGGCGAACAATGCGTCAAAGTGATGTATTAGGTAATGCGCGAGATCTATGTTTTTGTTGTGTGATTTGGAGGAATATTAGAGAACTGGATATAGCGTGGATGAAGTATCCGAAGCTATTGTTAATATGTCTGGGCCGGTGGGTGAGCGAGTACTGTGGTAAGATGGACGGAGGGAGGTCAGGTCACACTCATGTCCTTCTCTATCTTTTATCTTGGTCTTTAATGACGTAACAGAGGGTGGTATCAGACGTGGTGAGCGTAAGCACAAAACCCTCTCCATACTTATAGCTTATTCCTAGCTGATATCAATCTAAAATTAAGTATTCGGGTGGGGTCAGACTGGAATTAAATTGGCTTAACCCATTGTTCAGTTTGGATTTGACATTGTTTGATGTTGAACATCTGCGTTCTGTTTAATCGTGTGTCGGCGTCTTTACGCGAGTTGAGACTTGTCAGCCCTTCTAGTCTGTTTGTTTGTTTATTGTTTAACGCCGCACACAGCAATATTTCAGTGATATGCCGGCGATCTGTAAATAATCGAGTCTGAACCAGACAATCCAGTGATTGACATCATGATCATCGGTGTACACAATTGGGATACGATGATATGCATTAAACAAGTCAGCGAGCCTGACCACCCTATCCCGTTAGTCGCCTCTTTCGACAAGCGTTGTCGCCTTCAGGGTAAGCATGGGTTGCTGGAGACCTCTACCACCAGGATTTTCACAGGTCTTCTATTTTGTGATATGGGGCGGTGATCGCCAAGCGGGAAGTGTACTTGCTTGCCACTGTGAAAACAAAATATCATCTTCTATTTTGAAAGGACCATTCTTGAATCTATTCCTTTCGGCAGTGTTACCCAATGCGTTGTAAATATTCACTTACCACGATTGGTCGACCCTCATAGTAACTACAAATGTGGCTAAACAATAAACAAACAAGAAATGGTTATTCCATGGGGAGGTATTTCATACGGGTATCAAGGTTGTGTACGGGATCTTACATTTTCGGCGTTTCGGCAACTGTTTTCAGTCGAGAATAAGTAACATTTTGATAACAATTGTAATTTAGTCAAACATAATTTAAAGAAAATACTTTATTTTACCCGCACATTATACAGCCCCCTCTCTTCCTCCCTCCAGGCTCAGTGAATGTATGTGTCGTGTGTCCCACGATTGTTAGATTTACATATTGTTCCCACTCACGAAAACACAGTAACATCATATCAGATTCGGACGGGCGTTTATTGCCGCGTGTTTGTGTTCATTGCATAAGTTTATTAGTCTGATGTCGTGGCTTGTTCACGCCCTGTATCCTGGATGCGGCCCAAACAGGGTGTGTGTACAGATCAAGGTGATTGGGTGTTTGTAAACATGGACCATGGCACATCGTCAGGTGTTCAATAAGTTTGCCTCACTCTGATAGTGTGGGTTCGATTCCCGGATGGGACTCAACCCCCAAAAGTACCACATTTTGTACGTTACTAAGAAAGTGTTATCCCATATACAAAATGTGTTACATTTGACCACTTTCTAAAATGGCTCTGTGTGTTCATAGCTTTCGGCCATGGGAGCCGTGCCAATTTTCACTTAGAGGGGTACACAAAGTACGTGATCTAGACTACCAGTTGTCGGACTTTCATTTTGTGAAAGCCTCGGTGGCTGAGAGAGTTAGATCGCTGACTTTGTGTGCCGGATGGGACAAAATACTAGAATCTGAACTTTACACAGAAACTGTTATCCCAAATATAACATTTGTTACAATAAAATTAGTGTTTTGAGAAAAACATATTCACTTGTGTATTGATTACTATTGGTATAACATCCCCGCAAGACCTGCGTGAATTGACCACCTCAGAGTTCTTGTAGACGTTCTGCGCGGAGAGTGGGAAGTCCGTGGTTCGATTATCGGCCGCGTCATACTAATATTTGTTAAAACATGATACTTGTTGTTACCTTGTCTCCGCATTAAGGGAATAAAACAAGGATTTTACCTCAACTCAACTCACAAGCAACAAGCACTCACTTTAACGACAATTTTCTGACGTCGCCCGCCGTGATAGTACTTTAAGACCTCACTCACTCACTCACTCACTCACTCACTCACTCACTCAACCTCTCACTCAACCTCTCACTCAACCACTCACTCACTCACTCACTCACTCACTCACTCACTCACCCACTCACTCACTCACTCACTCACTCTTCTTGGTGCGTTTAATTACAAGTAATTGGGTGTACCTATCGTATCCATATTATTGGACCGCCTCCTAGGTCTAGTGATAGAGCGTCCGCATCCCTGCATCTTCCCTTGCATCTGCAGTCGCGCCAGGGTCCTGTGAGGCAATCTTTTCACAATGCACCTGTTCATGTGGTGCAGAGGAAAGACGGTACCCCATTATCATATATCAACCCCAAACAAATGCATAAGTAATACAGACATTTACCGGAAGGTGTGACCTGTCACTAGATATTGTACATCAGTAACGTCTTTGTATAGTGTGTAGTGAAACATCACATCGTGCAGAAATGTTGACGGCGCCACTGCTTCGTCGTCCTTGTGCTATGTATTCGAGTCTGAGTCATGCTTTACTGTCCACGCCGTCACGTTGACTGCAGGGAGTTGAGCTTGTTGGAATAGAGTGGTTCATGGCAGAGATAGACCCTTGCTGGGTCACTGGCTGGTCAAGCTTCAGTCCCGCTAGACCGGTTTGACCGATGCACAAGAACCTGCTACAGCTCGTGCCAGACAGGGCCGTCCACAGCTGAATGTTTCATAGTTGTCCTCATAACACCAAATCATCGTCATGTTACTGTAGATTAAAAAACAACAATATTTACGTATTTTCGTTGATTCTGAAACGTTTGTCTACTGCCATTGTCCGTGTAGATAATATATACAGTTAACTACGGTTATAACGAACACGCTTATAACGAGCTGACGGATATAACGAACTTACTTTTTGGTCCCGACTATTTGCTATAGTTATGCTGTATATATGCTTATAACGAACTGCGGTTATAACGAACTAAAATTAGTAGTCACTTTGAGTTCGTTATAACCGTAGGTTACTGTATATATAAATGATAACTTTAGCGGTTCGTCAAAATTTGCTTCAGCTCCACGTGTCGACGCGCCAAGTAGATCCGGTTGGAAAGCCAGATTGACATGCTCTCCAGTACAGGGGTGTGATTATTCAGCTAAAGGACACCTGGTGTGGTGTCATCATGATATTGGGCATTCTTTTCATATTTGCTGTTTCAATTTTGTTGAATTTTCAAAGATGTTGTTTGCATGTGCGCTGTGCGCTGAGATTGATTGTTTATGTCCAATGGAGAATACACAATGCCTGTACAACAATATAACACATCTCAAGTGTATTTAATTAAATG